ACACAGTGCTTACAACTGTCTCTGGAAGTGAAAGCACCAGAAAATAATTTATGTAATACGCAGCTGTCATCCGTACGCAAGGGAGTAAGCAAGATGCCGAACACCCTTAGCAGGATGCAGCGCACCCTTCATGCGACTCGCCGAATACCTCACGGCGCTTCGCGCTTGGTGATGTGAGAGCCTGGTCCGGTGAGAACCCGGCGTGCTCCGTCCCGGCTTTGTAGGGATGCGAGGTCAATGATCAAACGACTACGGCATGCACGACTATGAGTACCCCCCCCCCCCCGTCCTGCTTCCCCTCTGTTGCTGGCGGTAATCGATTAACGCGTGGTTTATGTTGTGTGTGTTCTCGACGCCACGATACTGCTCCACGTGCTGCAGGTTGCACTGCTTTGTTGGTGCTGTGTTCTTGGAACCCCGTATTTTCACCCCGCGACGCTTACCGGAAACGGAGGGTACTGTAAGCGGGAATAATAGTGTTGTGTGCGGCAGTACGACGGTAACAAGAAGAACAACGGCAACAACACAACGATCGATATTGGCGCCTACAGCAACACCGCACTTACCAGAACAGCAGACTGGGGAACAAGAGCAATCGAAAGTCATAACCAAGAGCGACAGCAGTACCGCACCAACTAGAACAGCTCAACACAGTAACAGCAGCAGCGAGAACTACGACGATGATGATGACTGCTGTTTGCATGCGTGATCCTACTCTAACACGCAGGCTGTGTATTGACACCAAGCGGGAGCGGCTCGGAGGTACTGAGGACGCCTGCCGCGTTTGCTGCCTCGAGCGATCTGCCGGAGGAGGCCTACACAACTATCGGGGTAATTGCGTTGGGGTACTGAATTGACTAAACAATTATAGGTTATTCTCTTCCTGTCTTCGGAATGAACATGAAACAGGTGACGTGTTGCATGGTATGTTCTTCCTGTTTTCGGAATGAACGCAAGAAGGGTGTTTTTTTTCCATAGGTGTCTGTGGGTTATAGGGAGGGGGGCATTCGTCGGCCAACGCAGGTGAAGGTTTGTTCATTCTTTGTTTTGAATCGTTTGAGCCTTTCTTCCGTCCGCGCCAAGTTGTGACGCGGTGGTGCCATATTCCTTCGGCTTGGAAATCGGCGGTTCGGGGAGGAAAGGGGTGCCTGTGTGCGCAGTTTTCGGCACAGACTGTCTTGAATTTTTTGCGTTATTTTTTCTTTGGCATTGCTGTTCTTTGCCGTGTTTTATGAGTAATAGGGGCTTCCCTCGCCTCTTTTGCACGTGCTCAATCCTTCTCTGTGCTGCATTTCGTCCTGTTTTGCAGCTCTTCCACTTCTTTCTTTTGCTCATGCTGATGCTGGTACTGCTTCTTGGTGCTGCTATGGTATTGTCCCCCCCCGGGAATCAATCGCTCCTTGCACGTGTATGCTGGCAGGGGAATATGAAGACCTGCCGCATACTGAACGGAATGTGGCAGCTGTCGGGCGCTCACGGGTTCCGTCCCGACCAGAAACCCGCCCTTCAGGTGACAGGCATTGTCTCATGGTCATCCCACGAATTTTTGCATTCTGGTCATGTAGAATTATTCCATTCTGGGCACATGAGCGAATTTGCCCCTTTCGGTATGGTTTCTGGACTCACCATATGGGGACACATAGGAGTGCGAGGAAGGCGGCACGAAGAAGTTCGTTTATCACGAAGTGCTTGTATCCATTCATTTGTATTTTTTTCGTTGTTGTTTTCGATCAGAGTGATTGTAGGAGACACACAGGAGGACGAACGACTACACGACGAGTTATTATATACCAAAGGATACCATACTTTTTCCTCTCAATCTGAGCGACTGAATGAGATGTCCTTGACCGGCGTGGACAAGCAAGAAGAACGTAGACAGAAAAAAAAAGGCACAAGGATTGCAGGAGATCCGATTTTGCGACGTCACCTTTTGGTTTTGGTGTTTTTTGTTGGCGGGAGTTTCTTTTTATGTACCAGCAGCGAACGGAAACGGTGCTGCGCACCATGTGCTTTCCTTTCCCTGTCTGCGTGTCTGTCTGTCTGTCTGTCTGTCTGTCTGTCTCTGTCTTGTCTCTGCATCTTTCTCTGTCTCTCTACATGTATCGCCGTCTCTCTCTCTCTCTATCTCTCTCTTTGTCTCTCTGTCTCTCTGTCTCTGTCTCCCTCTCCCGCCCGCTCTCGATGACGAACAAACCGCCGCGCGAATAAACCACTCCGTCGTTTATGCATTCAAACAATTAACAACCAACCGACCAGGCGATGGCGAAGCTTGTCAACAAGGGCTACACGACATTTGATCTTGCAGACCACTACGGCCCAGCGGAGGACTTCGTGGGCGCGTTCCAGAGCCAGAATCGAGCAGAGGCTGACAAGGGACAGGTGTGTGTGTGTGTGTGTGTGTGTGTTTTTATTATTGGCATCGACCGCGCTAACCGGCTGACCAATTAAAAGACGTCAGTGCCAGCGGGTATAAGTCATAAAGATTTTACCCGCTGGCTTAAGTGTGTGTGTGTGTGTGTGTGTGCTTTTATTATTAGCATCGACCGCGCTAACCGGTTGACCAATGAAAAGACGTCAGTCTCAGTGCGGCGGGAAACACAAAATGTTTCTGTGTGTGTGTGTGTGTGTGTATGTGTTTATTCTTTACATCGACCGCGCTAACCGGCTGACCATAACGTAAATCTTGTAGCGGGATGAAAAACACAAACACAGAGGGCGACGGTTCTTTCGACAGGGGGCTGGCAGGAGTCGGACGACAGTGTACTGCGTATGCTCAATCATCTCTCTCTCTCTCCTGTGTGTTTGTGTGTGATTCGCGAGTAAGCATCGACCGCACTACTGTAACCGGCTACAGCCAATGAAAAGACACCAGCCAAAAAGATTTGTCGTGTGTTTCG